TGAGGGGGACAAGGTAGGGGTTGAGGATTAAGAAGAACAAACCTACATGCATAAAATAAATAAGCTACCAGTATACATTGTGGATGTGAGAGTTGGACCTTAAAGAAGGCTGAGTGCTGAATAAATTATACTTTTGAATTGTGGTGCTAGAGAAGACTCTTGAGAGTCCCTTGGACAGCAAGGAAATCAAACCAGTCAAACCTACAGGAAATCAAAACTGAATATTCATTGGAAGGACTGATACTGAAGCTAAAGCTCCAATACTTTGGCCACCAATGCAAAGAGCTGACTCACTGGAAAAGATCCTGATGCTTTTCCAATTGAGGGAAAGACTGAGAGCAGGAGAAGGGGACAACAGAGGATAAGATGGTTAGATAGTATCACTGACTCAATGGACATGAATTTGACCAAATTTTGGAGGATAGAGGACAGAGGAGCTTTCATGCTACAGTCTATAGGGTCTCAAAGAGTTAGACATGACTTAGCAACTCAACAACAAAAACAACATATTGCAAAACACAAGGAATACAGACAATATTTTACAATAACTTTAGTGGAGCATAATCTATAAAATACTGTATCAATGTTCTACATCTGAAGCAAATAAAATATTGTACATCAACTATATTTTTAAAAATTAGATGATAAACAGACATTTCTCCAAAGAAGACATACAGATGGCTAACAAACACATGAAAAGATGCTCAACATCACTCATGATCAGAGAAATGCAAATCAAAACCTCAATGAGGTACCATTACATGCCAGTCAGGATGGCTGCTATCCAAAAGTCTACAAGCAATAAATGCTGGAGAGGGTGTGGAGAAAAGGGAACCCCCTTACACTGTTGGTGGGAATGCAAACTAGTACAGCCACTATGGAGAACGTGTGGAGATTCCTTAAAAAACTGGAATTAGAACTGCCATATGATCCAGCAATCCCACTCCTGGGCATACACACCGAGGAAACAAGATCTGAAAGAGACATGTGTACCCCAAAGTTCATTGCAGCACTGTTTATAGTAGCCAGGACAACCTAGATGCCCATCAGCAGACAAATGGATAAGGAAGCTGTGGTACATGTACACTGTGGAATATTAACTCAGCCATTAAAAAGAATTCATTTGAATTAGTTCTAATGAGATGGATGAAACTGGAGCCCATTATACAGAATGAAGTAAGCTGTAAGCCAGAAAGATAAACACCAATACAGTATACTAACGCATATGTATGGAATTTTAAAAGATAGTAATGATAACCCTATATGCAAAACAGAAAAAGAGACACAGATGTACAGAACAGACTTTTAGACTCGGTGGGAGAAGGCAAGGGTGGGATGTTCTGAGAGAATAGCATTGAAATAAGTATACTATCAAGGATGAAACAGATCACCAGCCCAGGTTGGATGCATGAGACAAGTGCTCAGGGCCGGTGCACTGGGAAGACCCAGAGGGATGGGATGGAGAGGGAGGCGGGAGGGGGGATCGGGAAGGGGAACACATGTAAATCCATGACTGATTCATGTCAATGTATGGCAGAAACCACTACAATATTGTAAAGTAATTAGCCTCCAATTAATAAAAATAAATGGGAAAAAAATAAATAAAGATTAGATGAAAAGAGAGTGCATATGTTTTAAATCATAACATATATTCTGATGTGCCAGGAGAGAATGGAAAAAAACAAATAAATTCCTGAGCTGAGATGAATGTAATTCCTTCCCTGCTATGTAGGAGATGGCATAAGAACCCTACAGGAGTTCTTTAAATCTTGTGGAAAGTGCCTATATCCAAAATGATCTATTTCATTTAGGAAATAGTTTACACATAATCAGATGAATTTAAGGGAAAAGGATGATTCCATGGAGATTGAATGACAATGATAAAAGTTCAAAATACTCTTTTTTCAAAATTGAAGTATAGTGGATTTAACTTAATATACTAGTTTCAGGTGAACTACTCTTTAATGAATATGGAAGATGGAACTGAAATGCATGAGACAATAGGATCACTAGGCATTGTATGGGGTATAAGCAAAATGTCCTCAGAAACAATGAAATACTCACTGTGTCCTCTGGTTAATTTTTTTCCATTTGGGAACCAGGAATTTTAAGCTTAAAGAGCCATCACCACACCCGTAAGATTTCCACTCAAATATTTAAATCAACTTTACACGACACATGGAGGTAAAATAATATACAGTAGTTCACTACGTAGGAACATTTGTGTTCATTTCCTCACTAATTAATATTGGAGTGTAAAACTGTCTTCTCATTTTCTTTGCACAGTTAATAGATTCTTAACATGTTCTTGAAAGTACTGTGTAGCCAGTGCTTTAACAGTCATGCTCAGCAGACCAGCAAAAGATCTTGTGTTGTCACTCACTTACTTATATTTCAAATGTTCATAGTTCTTCATCTTGCATTTTATTTTTAATTCCATGTTTCTCCCAGAGAGTCCCAGCTTCATTTCCCCAGAATCCCAGGGTATCTGATGCCCTGTTATTTGAAGACATTGAATGGTTCTCAGTACAGTACTATATTGTATTCTCCAATACAGTAATACATCCATCATAAGTATTTATGGATGAAGAAGGAAATGATGGATCTTCTCAAAGTCATTACATCTTTGCTCTTCAACACTGTGTGTGGGTTATAACTTCAAATTAGTTTAGAAAATCCAATCAGATTGAACAGGGTGTGGCTCACAGACTGCAACCCTATTAAGCTCAAGATCCGATGGGGTGGATCATAGCCCAGATTGTGTTATAAACTGTTATTCAGGTATAAAAAGAAGTCAAACAGACAGAGGGATGCATTTGTTCAGAGAAGAAGCTGGACTCTTTGGGACCTTGAAGAAAGAAATCAGCTGCTTACTGTGGAGTCCTCAGAATCCACTTGGCTTCACCGGCTCCTCCTATTTGAGGTATTGGTGAGTCCTCCAAACTGAGATAGGAGTGTTTCATTCCCTTAAATGTTATAAGTCTTATCTTTCTCTAGACACTGGAGTCAAAGCATCCTTTTATGGTCTCTAAATCATACTGTGTCAACATTCTCTTTGCTACTCTCACTTCCAACTTTTGACTGTTTGTGATTTTTTTCAGCTCCAACATTCTTGTCTTGAATCTATTTTATATACCTAGATCTTGTGATCTCCAATACACACAGTTAAATTAATGCAGTTAAACAGATAAACTTCACATCCTTAGTAGTGCCAGCCAGATTTCAGGTATTCTGTGTGGGGCAGTTTCTGTTCACACAATACAGATACAGAGCATGTCCTTCATCTTAAAAAGTTCTGCTGACCATTGATCTACAACTATGCTTTTACTAATTTGTTTTTAAGTATTTCATTTTCTGCTTTGCTGAATCTTCTTTTATGGATTTCATCAAGTGATTTTCTTCATTTTATTTCTTATGTGTCTTGAGATGGATTTTTGTGTCAAAATAATTATCTCAAGATAAAATAAATATTTTCAAATATTTATTTTAATTCTTCCAAAAATTTAATATTTATTAGCCTCCTTTGATTCCTATGACCTTTAAGCTGGACATCACCAGGGTTGCTGAGGTTCTGTCTTCTTTCTATAGTAGGAATGCCCTTTTGCATATGCCTGGGGTTTCCCTGGATATCATAGGAATTTACATATTCCTATTATCAATAGAAGAAGAAATTTAAGAGTGAAAAAGAACATTTCACTACACGCAGAAATTGAAGTCTAAACCAAAGGCAATCTATGCCCAGTCTTGATTGGTTTTCCTGGACAGTCCCTCCCAACTTGAGTTTCAACAGTTCTGGTTAATCTAATCACTAATCCAGTGACTTTCTTGAGTGGATCTTGGGGTTTGTTCAGTGTCCTGGACACTAGATTCCTCTCCACAGTGAGTAGAGGCATGGATGCAGGAATTCATTTCTGATAGGAAATGATCCCTAGGCTTTCACTTTGATGGTGAAAGGAGAACTGGAGAGCAGAAACCAGAGAGCAAATATCTTCAGGAAGGTTTCTGTTTCAAGATAGACAAGATGTGATGAGGGGATTGACTGGATATACAAAGAGGTTCCCTCCAAACTGGGCAATAAATCACAAAGAGACACATAACAAGGAGCTGCTTCTGGGTGATCTTTGTTACCCCAAGACACAGACTGAGCAAAATTAAATGACAGCTGTTCTTCCCTCTAGTGCAAATGTGTCATATACTAAAAATTTTGGGACTTCTGGGTGTTCATTGTAAATTGGTAAATAAAGCAATTTCCTTCTAAATCTCCATATTTCTGACCATCCTTGACCAGGAGGATTGAGATAGGCTATGACAGTAACCCTGTGACTCCTGCTATTTTCTGGTGTGGGCGATGTTAAGGACGAGGCTGGCAGGGTGGGTGCTATGGTTCCTCCAAATGGAATAAGTCCTCAATTTAACTCCATCCTAAAAGAGGTCCTTGGGTAACTGATATTCATATGCATGGGGGACAGAACTGATGTCAGGTTTGAGGGAGAGCTGGAAGGCAGTATGAAACACACTGCCAGGGCTGTTGGAGAAGCACTGTGGGCGCATAAGGCAGGAGATGACTGGGGGCTTCCAGAGTGTTCACCTACAGCAGTAAACCACCATCTACTCTGCGAGAGTCAGGGTCCCCGAGGGCTGGAATCAGGGAGGACACTGAGTGGGTCTGGGTGCCACAAGCTGATGAACACAAAGTCAATGCTTAGCACGTTCTTATTTGCGGACTCTGACTTTCTGTGTTAGCAACCTCAGCTCTAGCTCTTCACATGGGATCTGGGAGAGAAGAAGCTGCACAGTATTCCCTGGATGCACCACTGGTTTCTGAGTGCTGGGCTGGGGCTACACCCAGGTGAAGGTTGGGGGCTTGAATTCAGGTGGGTCTGGAAGTACAGGACTGGCGTCTCATGGCTTCTTCTCCATCCTCAGATTGGCCTGCCTAGTGCTTGGATCGGCTGTGAGTGAGATCCCGAGAAAGGCTCCTGGTGACTGAGCTGTTGAGCATGGAGCCCCTGGTGAGTAGTGATGCTTCCTTCTCCTGAAGCTGCACCCAGTCCCCATCCTTCCTCAGCTCAGCCGCCCACTCTGGACAGTGGTAGGGCTGCTCTGTCTAAACCAGAACATCTCTGATGCTTTAGGAATCGGTGACGTTTGAAGATGTAGCTGTCGACTTCACCCAGGAAGAGTGGAGCCTGCTGGACAAGTCTCAGAAAAACCTGTTCCGAAATGTGATGATGGAAACTATCACCCACCTGGTCTCTCTAGGTAAGTCTGTCAACAGGGACGTACCTGCACCTGTGTCCATTCTGTTCACTCACTCACTGAACAAGCTATGCTGAGTCCCACTCCAGCTGCTTCCTGATTCTCTGCTTGTCCTCCTAACTACATAAAAAGGAAGCTGTTCCTTTCCATGGTACTTGTTGCCACACTGAAAGGTCACCTTGGGCAGGTTTCATATCTTTATTGATACTTAGTCTCAACATTCAGAACTGGACTGGGGATTCAATGGACATTTTAATACATAAATAAAAGGATCAAATATTTTAAACTAATTCTTCTGTTCCAATCACTCCATGAAGGCTTGAGAGCAGAGTCCTATATATGACATAATTTTGATTCTTCCTGCAAGGTGAATCACTACTGGATCCTGTTTGGTAGAAATATTCAGCCCACTGTAGAGTCTTTTGATCTTTCCCATTTGGAGAAGACAGAGGATTCTGTGACTGCTCTCTGAAATGGTGCATGGGCATCAGCCCCTAGAGAAGAACAGTGAAGAACAGTGAAGAACAGCCTCACTGTTCTTGCTGCTGCTCTGGGTTTCCTCCTGGTCCGATGAAGGACCTTCACTGTCCTGTCTGTTCAGGATGTTGTTACCTGCACTGACCTTCAGTTGTCTCTCTATTTTCCCCAGTACCTTACCCATGTTTTGAGCACAGCAAAGAGTAATTAGCCTAGACTCAAAATCCACACCTTTCTTTTTGTAAATCAAACAGGCTATCAGATCAGCAAATCAGATGTGATTTCCCAGCTGGAACAAGGAAAAGAGCTGTGGACTGAAGCAGCAGGAGGCCTCCAAAGTCAGAGTCCAGGTGAGTGTCAGGGGCCTGAGCTTCAGGGCAAAACAGTTTCAACCGGTGTATTAAGTCCGTGGAGACACCAAATGAGAGTCTGATGAAGGCAGGGATATATTCCAAAGTGAAAGTGAGGACATTGGGGCATATTCCTCGCGTTGTTATCATTCTGGGCCCCTATCATCACAATTCATATTCCTGATATTTTCTCTCCTATGGGAAAAAGGTGCTTGTGGACTATACCACACTTCAACTTTCACATAGTGATTCCTGTCCTGATCCTGCCACTTAGTTTTGTCTACCCTTTTCTGACCCAATGTCTCGTCACCACATTATGTTTTTATATTTTAAGCCTGGGTTTTTTCCTAACAGACAAGACTTTTAAAGTATTTCTACTACATTGAGTATTTCTTTGTTATATACAGTTTCTCCGAGTACCAATTTTTGAAATATACTCACGTGGATGTTGGTGTTTGTCTACATTTTATTTCCCTATTGCCACTCTAAAATCTATACTTTTCACATTTCTTTAGGCAGTGAAAGACCCCTTAGACGACAAGAAATGATATTCATGCAAAGTGTCTACAGGAAGCACATATCCCCTACCATGGCAATGGTAAGTTTCATGGGTGGGAACCCCAGTCATCCAAATGAAAGACCTACAGTGAGATAAGTTGGTAATTGAGCACAATTGCCTGTAAATTGAGACTGAGCTCTTCCTGAGCAAATTTTTGGATACTCTGAAATTGGTTAAGAAGTTAATATTAGCTCAAAACCATAATATAAGGGGGAAAAAGATAAGTTGCACAAACATTTTTCATCTCCTAGTCTCTAGAACACACTGAAATCTTCAAAATTAATCTGATATCTGGGATTGGGAAACTATAAAAGAGATTGTTCATGCTTGCAGGGGAGTAACACAACATGTGTTTGCAACTAACACTGGCGACATTTTAACTGGAGACTATTATGAGCTGATGTTCTAGGGTGAACATGTAGATGAATGAGTGTCTACCTGAACATGGGCAAACCAGTAAAAGCCTCATATCTCCTTTCCTCAAAAAGGTTTCTCACCTGCAAGGGGATCCTGCTGGATGCATGGATTTGAGAGATGAAGTTCCTTCTAGATATTCCCCTCAACGTTCATCAATTCACTTAAGAAGGAAACGTAATAGCAAATGGTGTGAAAAGTCCCTTAGTCAAGGGTCATTCCTTAATGCACAGGGTCATATTCACAGTAGAGGCAAATTGTGTGAATGTCCTCTGTGTAGGAAAGTATTTAGTAATTGCTTTTGCCTCAGACGACACAAGATGATTCACACTGGAGAGAAACCATACAAATGTGGTCTCTGTGGAAGTGGCTTTTTTCAAAGTTCTGACCTTAGAAACCACAGTCGGGTCCACACTGGAGAGAAACCATTTAAATGTCATGTGTGTGAGAAGCTCTTTAGTCAAAGTTCCTACCTGAAACAACATGAGAAAACTCACACAGGAGAGAAGCCCTACAAATGTCGTCTGTGTGAGAAAAATTTTAATCAAATCTCTTACCTTAGAAAACATGAGAAAATCCACCCCAAAGAAAAGCACTATGAATGTCATCAGTGTGGGAAAACGTTTAGCCAAAACTCTGGCCTTAGTCAGCACAAGAGAATCCACACTGGAGAAAAACCACACGTGTGTCTTGTGTGTGGGAAGGCCTTCAGTCAGAGTTCTGAATTGACTCGGCACAAAAGGACCCACACAGGAGAGAAACCCTATAAATGTCAGCGGTGTGGGAATGCCTTCAGTCAATATGCAAACCTGAGAAGGCATGAGAGAACACACACCAGAGAGCAGCCCTATGAGTGTCAGCTCTGTGGGAAGTGCTTTAATCATGGCTCTTCCCTTAGGCGACACGAGGGAACCCAACACCAGAGAGAAAATCAGGAAGGCCCTCAGTAGACTTTCTCACCTGACATGACACGCTGTTCCTTCCACATTCCACACATGAGGAATGTGGGAGGAACAGCAGCCATAGCGTTAGTATTTAAATTCACCGAGTTCACACTCACTAAAGTAACTGTAATCAATATGGAGGCTCCTTCAGGCATCGCATTCCCCAGTCCAGACAGGCATCACCTGTGGATGTGGATCCACATGTGTGCTAACTCTGTGGCAAAGCCTTTAGTCATTGGCCTGACCTCAGGTAACTTAGCAGAGCTCCCTCTGTAAATACAATATGGGCATTTGCAGCAATAGCTCCCAATTCTAAAGCCCCTGAGTACCTAGAGGTCATGAGCAGAGGATAAGCAACACCTAGTTCTTCTTTCATAATTGTTCAACATGAGCCAACTCCATGAAGAGAACCAGCAAGATTGTAATCACTGTTAATGTTCAGCGGAGCCCCAGTGTTGGTGTGCTCAAGAAACTCAATGAAAAAAATAAGCACTAAAACAAGAACAAAGATGAAGACTCTTGAGAAATACTAAAGTATATTGAGCAATACCAAGGCATACTTCTAAATAATTTATCCTAGTGAAATGATTTCATGGAAGGTTCTGAGAAATTCTTTTTCTGTAGATCAACCACTCTGCTCCACACGTGCTCAGTCTGTATGACACACACTTGGTGTTGTGAAGGAAAGGAAGTCTTTGGAGACTTACTTCTCAGTCAACACGAAATTATCACACTAAGGATGCAGCAATCCTAAAGTCACAGTGGAGCTACAGATTTCATATCAGAAAAAATGACCCTGTGTAGGAGGGGGAGCCTGCAAAAGAAATCTGTAACACACAATCAGGCTTCCCAGGTGGCTGAGTGGTGAAGAATCCGCCTGCAATGCAAGAGTTGGATTCAATCCCTGATCTGGAAAGTTCCCCTGGAGAAGGAGATGGCAACCCACTCCAGTATTCTTGCCTAGAGAACCCCATGGACAAAAGGGCCTGGGGGTCTATGATCCATGGGGTCACAATTTAGTGACTACACCACAACAACCATAACAACAAACACACAATCAGGCAGATTATGATTCAGGGAAATAGCTTTTCATGAAAATGTGGCATAAAATGGAGAATGAAGAGACCTAGCAATGTGGAATGTAGAGTTTTGTAAGAAATTAAAATGCGAGTATAGAAAAATAGTTGTTAATATTCAAACAATAAAGTCCATGGCTAAAGGAGCTCAATGCTGCTGTCTGGTTTCTCTGCGACCCTGTAAACACAGGGACGCAGGTCTGCACTCTGGGAAAGTGGGCAGAGACTCAGCCCCACTCTCTGAGTCCCCCTTTCTCCACTGCTCTTTCCACACAACTCAGCTCCACTCATTCCAACATTCCCCCACCCCATCCACCCCTTAAGGCCCTGGTGGTGACACAGCTCTGATCTTCAGCTCCACTGGCCAGGTTTCCAAAATGTCATGATCCTGCTCAGGCAAGGTCCTGGGGGAGTCTCAGAGACATCTGGTCCTACATTATTTGAGCCGCTCAACCTATGTCTGCAGGCTTCCCATGTGGTGATAGTGGTAAAGAACCTGACTGCCAGTGCAGGAGACATAAGAGACTCAGGTTCCATCCCTGGGTCAGGAAGATCCCTTGGAGGAGGGCATGGCAGCCCTTTCAGTATTCTTGTCTGGCAAATCCCACAGATAAAGGAATCTAGTGGGCTACCATCCATGGGGTCATAAAGAGTTAGAGACAACTGAAGCGACTTAGCACACTGGTATGCACAACCTATGTCTGCAGACGGAAACCAGCTGGGGCTCAAGAGACAGACATCTCTGCCCTCCCTGACCTCAGAAATCTCTTTTTAATTTTGTCCCAAAACCTCTGAACTGAGTCAAGCAGATGAAGAGTTCCTTCCATGAGCATACTCTCTATCTTACTCAGCTGATTCCTGAATTTTGGACCCAGCAGTCTCACTAAACAGGAACCCAGCCTTGTTACCACCACATAAGCTCATGAAATAAATCTGCAAGAATATAAAATGCCTAAAACTATCAGACATCACACAAGCAGGTTTTTAAAATAATTAGCACAATGTCTTTTTCCAAATAAAATGTCGTCACAGAGCAAATCTCCCCTCTTGTCTGCAGGACTTGGGAAGTTATCCTTTGACACACATCCATATTGAATCCATATCTCCAGGGAGAGTCTTCCTGGATATCTACTCGGATGAGGTGTGTTCCTGCCAAAGCAGTACAATTCCCCAACCAAGGCCTGAGTCCACTCACAGAAACACAAACAGGATGGTACTGATCCATAATGACTTTTTTTTTTAATTAAAAAAATTTTTATTTAATTTTGGCTCTGCTGGGTCTTCACCGCTAGGAAGGCTTTTTCTCCACTTGTGGCAAACAGGAACTTCTAAGTTGCAGTGTGTGGGCTTCTCATTGCAGTGGCTTCTCTTGCTGCAGAGTTCGGGCTCTAGGGCTCCTGGATCCAGTAGTTGGGGCTCCTGGGGCTCAATGGTGTGTACAGTGGCTTAGTTGCTCGTGAGATCTTCCCAGAGAAGAGATCAAACCTGTGTCTCCCACCTTGGCAGGGGGATTCTTCTCCATTGACCTACCAGAGAAACTCCATCACTGGTTTTCAAAATTTCCACAAGGAATTCTGGGGGCAGTCAAGATGGGAAAACAAGTCCTGGGTGAAGGTGATGAGCAACGAATTCTATTGTCTGTCTATTGTGACACGTATCGTTCCTTGGGTACAAATGGCTCAACAAGGTCATGTGAACTTGGAGCAGCATGAAGGTTAGTTTGCAAAGACAACTTTCCACGTGGACACTTCCTCAGCCTCCTTGAAAGCTTCATCTCATCCAGTGGAGTTTGTCCAGCACCCACTTTTCTGTGATTCTAGTTACAGATAGGAGGAGTGCAGCTGGATTTCAGGTTGGGTTGAAATAAATGTGGTGTTAGCTAAACCCCCAGAGAAATAGGACAGCAGTCAAAATATGCAGTGTTGTGGCTTTAGACAGGGGAGTAAAGGTTCTTTAATTTTTTTAAATTTCATCTCTATGTTATACTGAGCTATCATTCAGTTATAGTATTAGATGAGTTTTACATTTACAAGTGGATTTCAGCTCCTGCATACCGTATAACAAGTCAGCTAAGAAAGGGAAATTCCGCCACGGACCCTCAGCCACCTCCGAGGCTGCATCTCCTCCAGTGGACGGTGCCCAGCACCCACCATTCTGAGTATCTACTGACAGATGGGAGGTACCCAGCTGGATTTCAGGTTGTCTGGTTTTATTTGGTGTTCAGTGTATCCCCCAGAGAAACAAGACAGACACAAAATATGTACAAATGTGGCTTTATGCACTGAGGCATGGATAATTTTTCATGTAATTATTTTCCTGCCCATGGAATTCCCCAGGCAAGAGTACTGGAGTGGGTTGTCATTTCCTTTTCCAGGGGATCTTCCTAATCCAGGGATTGAACCTGGGTCTCCCTCATTGCAGACAGACGCTTTACTGTCTGAGCTACCATGGAAGCCCTTAATTATTTTTCTAGAGTATCATTCATTTGGTTACAATATTATATGTTTTATTTATATAAAAATATATTTCAATTTCAGTATGCCATAAAATTGACCTGCACCAAAAACTTCGATGTTTTTTTCTTTTACCATCCTGTGGACCTTTTTCACTCATCAGCCATCCCCCTGTTGGTACCCTCTGACATCCACGGCTCTGTTCTGTGAATATGTGTTTATTTGCATGTCATTTGCTGTCTTAATTTTTTTTTTTACTTATTTGCTCTTTTTCCTTGTATTTAGTGTTCCATATGTGAGTGAATTCATCAGGTATTTCTGTGTTCTAAAGGTGTTTACAAGACATTATTAGATCAAAGGTGATTCATAGCCTTGATTGGATTATAAAAAAACCTCATCAAGGTCAGGTAACCTTGGGGACGAATCAAAGGCAGCAGGAAAGGGAAGTTATCCCACTGGCCCTCCTCAGTTTCCTTCAAAGGTGCAGCGTGCCCAGCATCCAGCATTCTGAGCATCTACCAACAGGTAAGAGGCATGTGACTGAAGTTCAGGTTGATTTAAATTTGATGTTCAGTTTGTCCATCAGAGAAATGGGACAGTAGACAAAATAGGTACCAATGTAGTCTAGGCCATGGGCATGAATATTTTTTTAATTTAATGATTTTTGTAGGGTATCATTCAGTCAAGACGTTAGATAAGTTTTACGTGTACAAAAATATTTTTCAATTCCAGTATACCTTAAAATTGGTTAGCACCAGCAACTTAGGGTTTTTGTTACCATCCTGTGGACCCATTTTACTCATCAGCCATCCCCTTGGAACTATCCTCTGACATGCCCTGCTCTGCTCTGTGAGAATGTTTGCTTTTGTGTCATTTGCTTTCCTCTTCTTGTTTTTACTTATTTACTTTTGAAATGTGTGTTTAGTGTTCCACATCGAAGAGAATTCACAAGGTATTTCTCTTTTCTAAATGGGTCTTCAAGACACTGATAGATACAGGGTGATTTTTGTTCTTTAGTTGCTAAGTTATGTCTGACTCTTTGTGACCCTCTGGACTGTGGCCTACATAACATTGATTGGTTAAGAAAACCTCATCAAAAAAAAAAGGAAGAACCTCATCAAAGTCATGTGACCTTATGGTAGTATAAAGTCAGTGGGAAAGGGAAATTTCCCCACTGACCCTCCTCAGCCACCCTGGAAGCTGCATCTCCTAAGCTGGAGCGTCCAGCACTCATGATTCTGAGCATCTTCTGAGAGACTAGAGAGAGGCTCACAGCTGAATTTCAGGTTGTGTGGTTTAAATTTGGTTTTTGGCTAGTCCCTCAGGGAAATGGGACAAGAGTAAAATCATGTAGTGATGTGGCTTTAGGCAGCTGGGGATCAATTCTCTAATTTCTTTTGAATTTAGTTTGAATTTTTTTCTAATTTTGGTATTATCCCATTATAATTTTAGTGACGTTTTAGGTGCATAGCCACAC